ATTCGCTTGTTTATTGCTAGGCAAATGAAATGCAGCTTAAGGAAAACATGACATGATTACCGGGGGCGATGGTCATTAGTGGATATTATGCTTGCTTTGAGATTTTGTTAGCTTAATTTTTACCATATACTTAAAATACTATGAATGGTATTTTTTAATAAAAATATTAATATTAAGAACTCATTGTTTATGACATATTCGTGGAATCTCAAAACTCCCTTTAAACGGTCAAAATATTATCCAAAAATTGTCAAAAAACGCGAACATATTTCCTCCTTTTTGAATGTTTTTTTTTTTTTTTTTTTTTTTTGAGTTGAAAGTACCATATAAATTGGTTTTAGATGAAAATTCTCCATATAAAAATATTCTACAACACATTTCAAATTAAAATTTGTTTGTATTTACGTTTTTATACAACACTATATGTTGGGGGTGTTATATGTTTTATTGGACCCACAATTATGTAACAAATCGAAGTATTGGTTTCCAACAAAGGAAAATATATATGGATCTTCCTATCTCGCCGAGCTGAGTCGATCTAGCTATGTATGTCCGTCCGTCCGTCTGTCCATGTTAATTTGTAATCACTCTACAGGTCGCAAATATTGCCCGATCTTCACGATATTTAGAATGGAGGTGGGGCTAGGGCCAGAATATAACCCTATTGCTTTTAGAGATGATCACATAATATTTAGGAGTTGAAATGGACCAAAATTTCCTGATTTCGCAGTTGCTCTACAGGTCGCAATTATAGACCAATCGAAGCGGAAGTTAGCATGGCGCTGGAGCTTAGGGATAGGCAGAAGATGTTAAGCGGGTAATATTTAGTGGGTGAAATAGACAATAACATTTGTGTCAAATAAAAGTCAACTTTTCCACTGAACCGCGAAATGTTTAATCCCGACGAAATCACAAATAGACGAACAGGTCAATTCTGACCGTTACGTAGACGCCGATAGTAAATATATCGGATATATATATATCGAAATATATACAATGTGGAAGGGAATGTTAGCTAGAATGCTTATATCTCAAGAATGGCTGGACCGACTTTGACGAATTTTGTCAATTCAAATGCCCTCTTGGCATAAAAGTATGAAATCTAAAAAAATCGCATAAAAAGATGGCAATAATGATTTTAATATTGATTTTGTAGTATTTTGTGACATTTTTGTATTTTTTCATATTTTTTATCGCATGCGATTTTTTTATTTTGACTTATAATATCGAAGTGTACAATTTGTAATATTTTTTCACCTTACAACACAGGTTGGGGTTATTATATGCAGATTATCGTCCTATTATCGCAATTATCGTCCGATCCTCACGAAAATTTTCACAAGGTTAGGGTTAGGCTCAGAAGGGCTAGGCATATTGTTTTCAAAGATGTCCACAATATATTTAGGGGTTGAAATGGACCAACAACTAAAACTGTTCCTGATTTTTCAGCCGTTATTAAGGTCACAAATAGAAACCAAAGGACACGAAATCTCGCATGAAGTTTGAGTTTAGGACAGCAAGTAGAATGGACCACTACTTTTGTGTGAAAGAATACCAGAATTATATCCGAAATACACAAAACGCGAACTTCTGGATTTTTTATGCTGATGTCGTCGACGAATATAGCCAAATATCGTAGGCAAGCAAATCATACAGATGAGTCTCAATATGGAGATACAGAGGGGCATCTCTCTTTTGGAGATGATCGCAAAATATTTAGCGGGTTCAAATGAACCAAAAACAGAAAAAAATACTGATCACACAATTGAAGCCAATCGACATGCCTAGGAAGAGAGTCAAGGACAGGGGAGAATTTTGGCATTTTGGATGACCATTGGATTATATTTATGGTAAGGGTAATATCTCGGCAGTGCTCCGTGACATAATTTCAAAAGCGAAATCTTCCAAAATGAATTTGGGCAAAAGGGGGCTTCTAACATTTTGTAGTAGGGTATCTCATTGTCGACTCCGCACGACTATAGCCTTTGTTTCCTTGTTAACTGTTAATTTTTCACGTTTCCGAACTGAGTCAAAATGTTCCTTAATATTTCATTCTTTGCCAAATAAATGTTTCTGAACAAAAATGTTTACATTTAACATGCATTATAAAAAAACATTAATTTTGGTAAATAAAAAATTATTTTCGAATAATTTATTACATTTTCCAAAATTGCACAAAATTCCTGGAAAATATCACAGCCAATTTGGGGTGTGGAGGAAATTTCAATTGGATTTGTAAGTATTTGGTTTGTGGATCAAACCTCCCGAAAAGAGTTTTGAGTTCTCAGAACAAACTTTTTTCAGCGCGTAGAACTTCGCAATAAATGATATATGTAGGCTCATATATAGGTTTCACCTGATTTAGGTTCTAGCGAGGGTCTTGGGTATATTTCCCCCTTAATTCATACACTTTGTTTGTTTAGAATTTGTCACACCCTATTGGCAGGGAACGTGGTCTTAAGAGGTGCCGTTATAGAGAGTCTATAGCGTAGGGTTTTCTACCCACGGAAGGTTTTCTACCCACGAAGAAACTTAAATACTAAATATCAGCCAAAACCCTCGAAATTACAATAAGGAGAATTAATATTTGAAATGGGACTTAGAAATTGGCTCAAAATAAGGGCTGTACCAAAAATCGGCCAACATGACCCATTTTTAAAGCAATCTTTCTTGAACTAATCTAAAGCTCTTTATACAATTCCAAAGCTCTATGTTACATCTTGGGTCCATTCGTGTACGGTTAAGTCTATGTAAAGGGCTCTAACGTTTGGTCTGTTTTGGGGGTTTTATTTACAGACAGAATACAGTAAAATTCACTTATAATTTCTCGTTTGTTGCATAGCGTAATTTTAATAATTCGGGAAAAAACTTCTAAATTTGTTCAGAATAAACAAGGTTTTTTTATATATCAAAATTGATGATAATTTTATTATCTGCTTCACATAAATTGATCTGCTTCAAATAAATTCTCTATGTAGACGTTTATTTCTTACGAGTAGCTCTACTAACTATGCTTAGTTGGGTAGGGTATCATAAAGTCTGCCCCGCCAGGACTTTGACCTTTATTTACTATTTTTCTTCGACTTCATCCATCCATCATGATATTTTGTGGATGCATTTTACCTAAACTCGCAAGCCAAAATATGGTTTTAATATTTAAATATACCCGTTTAAATATAGTTTTTAACATTTTTGTAATCAGTAATATTGCAGAATACAGTATATGCCTAAATTTCAAGGATTCCAAGGAATGTTAATCAAAAAAAAAAAGTAGAAGAGGGTGAACTTGTTCCCTCTAAGTATGTTATTTTCGACGTAGATTTCAAAAACACATGACTTTTAGTCACCCGCTCAAAGTCACTGTATGTTGTGCTGTTTTCGCTGGAGGAGTCATCGGTTTTTTTCTCGAAGACGTCGCGGGCCAAACGGTTGCTGTAAATCGTGAGGGCTACAAAGCAATGATCAACGACTTCTTTTTGCTCCAAAGTCATGAGTTAGGATTGGAAAACATTGCACTGCCCAGTAATATCGCCAGATTGACCGCTCCAGATTTCTTCTTGTGTGGCTTTTTGATGTCGCGGGTTTATGTCAACAAGCCTCAGACTCTTTCGGCTCTTAAAGACAATATTCCTCAAGAATGTAAGGACCTATCGGCGGAAGTCATGGCCATATACCATAAAAAGGGCTCAAAGACATCATATTCTCGACTTGATGTAAAAAAAAAACAACTAAAAGACCAAAATAAAAATAATCCACAGGAAGAATCAAAGTTTTATATAATACACTACAAGATGGTCAGGGTATTATATCTTTGTGTATTTCTTTGTAACAGGCAAAAGGAAACGAGATAGACTCATAGTTCCTTTTGATGATCTGCATAGAACAACATTCTGAGTCGATTTATGCATGTCCGTCCGTCCGTCTGTCCATGTATTTTTGTAAACAAAGTACAGGTCGCATTGTATAAGTAATTCGTTGGCACAAGTAATTCGTTTGACACAAGAACCAACCCACACCAACCAAAGATTAGCGCCCACATAAATTTTCGTCCGATTTGCCTTTAATAGTGCACCAAATGTGTAATAGTTTTTGCACATACGACCATATTATGGTATTTTGCACATACGACCATATTAGGCCTGAAAATAAGCATGCCAAATTTGATCGAAATCGGTTCAGATATAGCTATAGCTCCCATATGTATTGTTCATCCGATTTGTTATTTTTATCATCCGCAGCCGTAATATCCACTCTGTAACAAAGATATTTGGGGATATATATCAAATACAGCTCAGAAATACCTTTGCTAAATTCTAAATGGGATGGAATTTGGCACTTACGACCAAATTGGGTCTAGAAACAAGTATGTCCGCCCGTCTTTAAGACTTTCATTACTGTTTTGTTTTTCATTACAGACCAAAAACATAGGAAGTTAACTTTTGCGCCACCTTGTATATAATACGAAACATGTGATCGAATCATACGAATCATATGTGAAAATACGGTTTTATCCTATACTGCAAAGTATTTGTAAATTGTACATACAAAAAGGGCCGATATTTCCTTACTTTAGCCAAATCGGATACACCAGCTTCGAACTTTAATAAAAATTATAAAAAGTGCCAAGTGTGGATTAAAATGGGTACACCACTCAAGAGTTATAGCGCGCAATAGCTGGCCACATATTGGCTTGAAATAGTACACTTCCATACTATGGTGTAGCCTCCACATATGACTTATAAAGTTCTCGAATGAGATAGTTCGATAGTATAATTATTTGAAGAGTTTAATTAAAGAGCTACTGAAATCTATGCTGACCTCCTACCAACCAACCTATGTAAGGGGTGGATTCGGCAACGGTTGACGACAGACTTCGTCCCAGCGGGAGTAAGTTGGAATTTAATATCACACCTACCTTTATGTGCCACACATAATTAGTTCTCATAGAAAGTGGTTAGTCCTATTATTTCAATATTAAATGATACAAGTTTTATACTTACTTGCTTTTAAAGACCTTCTCACACGAGTCACATTGAAAATCTTTCTTTTGTATGTTTTGATTCACAACACCCATCTCCAGCTTATTCACTGTGCCATGGACTCTATCTATGTGATCTTTTAGATTATATTTTCTGGCGTACTTGAGCCCACATAGGGTGCATTCGAATATCTTCTCATTTGTGTGACGGCGCAAATGACAACGTAATGACTGTTTCCGAAATGTTTTCTCACACAGAGGACATTTTATTTGATCTTGTGTTGCCATGGACACGTTGGTGTGATATAGGTTATGAAAGATGATTTCCGACTCATAAGGCGAGCTAAATAGATATATATATATATATGTATGTATGATAAAAAGAATAAAGTCTCATTTTAATTGTTTTGACTTACACAAATTCGCATAGATCGCATTTCCGCAATACATCTCCATGTTCAGGTGTCACTTTCGCTTCTTGACTTGTCATTTCCACGTCTCCTTTTGTTCCAGCATTCGAGTCTGATGTTTCACGATTACCAAGAATTTTGGGTTTACATTTTCGCAAGTGTTGACCCAATTTCTGGCCATTTACAAATTTTTCCCCACATACCATACACACGGAAAGGGAGTGCTCTTTCTCACGGTGTGCTATTAACTGATCTCTAGATTGGAAGATTTCCTGACAATTAAGACATTTGTTTGTTTTCTTAATTTCTAAAGATTTTCGAAGTTTCTCTCTTTTAATTGCTTCAGCACTAGTGCATGGCTCGTCATCGGAGTTAGTTTCAATTTTAATCTTGTCCTGAATAACTGTTATAGGATTTTCAGTGGCACAGCTATGTATGTTGGAGAGAAATAAATAAATTCTTCATTTTTTGACAGTCAATTATTTTGGAATTTCAAAGCAAATACAAGCACGATTCGGTTACGTGTTTGTTCATAAGTCGCAAATTACATTAGGCATGTTTATTTGCGGCAAGTCTCTATTTGAAGGAAAGGAAGGGGAATCAAAATGGAAAAAAGAGAGTTATTATTATTCAAAACTAGCTGGACCGGTCCGCGTTGCCGGCCCGTAGTTTCTGTCTATTATGCATATTTGTCAAAGCATAATTATTCACAGATATGACTGATATAAGTGTTCACGTACTGGTCGATTAAAAGTGTTTTAAAATACCTGTACCCTTATTTAAGTCGTGTACTTGAGGGGGTACTATTACATGGAGAAAATTCTAAAATTTGTATATATGTTGATATTTTTGTAAAAAATTTCCACCCCAAATATACATTTATAGCCAAATTCTTTGAAATATGGTAAAATCAGGAGTTACCTTTATATGGGCACTACTCCGAAACATCGACCTACATTGAAAACTTTCTTCTACCCCTTATAATCCAATATGACAAATAGGGGCCAACTCAAAAATATAGCTATTTTACACCCATTACCGTAGGATGGGAATTAATTTTATTTGCCATTTAAATTGTAAGTTGGAGACCCCATAAAGTCCATATTTTCCATCATAGTATAATTCAATGACGATTCAACAAATATTCGGTCCCGTGCTACTTTCTTATATTTGTAATTTGTTCATGTTTTCACAATTTATTTCATATAGATGTACATCCCAAATCTACGTTCCCAATATTCTCTTGGGGGTTTCAAATTCAATAGAATACAAAGTTTTCATTTCTGACCAAACATTAGATGTGAAAGTGGACTTGGGGATACTCCAATGTGGGGACTTTACTTAAATAAATTCCTATGGGGCAATTATCTATATGATGGTTCCCTATCCCAAGGTAGCACATATACAATTTTTTAGCCAAATCAATTGATGAATGTGGTCAAGACCAATATGGGCTCTACTCCAAAAATTTCAAATTTTATGCGAATAGGTTCTCTACCCCCTTAGAAACAAAAAATGTCAAATAAGGGCCAAAAAATGAAAAAAGTGCCAAGACCCCTAAAATAACTTAAATCATATGATGGTTATATAAATATGAAATCGGGTTGTACCCTTATCCGTGAGTTATGATCGATATCATGACCTGCAAAGCGATTTAAGGTATCTTAAATGTTTGGGAAGAATTTCTGGAAGGATACACTGAAAGAAAAAACTTCATACCATAAGTGAAATCCTACGTTCCGTAAATGAAATTCGTTATTGATTTTGAACCAACGTAGAGGTTCGTTGAATAAATGAAAAAAGTTTCATTGAGTTTCATTAATGTAAAATTGTTCATTAATATAATGAAAATTCTTCCTTGATTCAGTGAAATTAAAATGACAGAGGGTATTACAAGCTCGGTCCGGCCGAACATTGCTTTTTTACTTCTTAATACCTACACCACACTGTGGTAGTGGGTAATTTGTCGTTGTGCATTTGTTTGTAACAGGTAGAAATATGCGAGATAAACCCTACTTTTTGGATGATCTTTATAAAATCACGTTCTGAGTCGGTTTATGCATGTCAACAAGTCTGTCCGTCTGCCCATGAATTTTTATGAACAAAATGCAGATCGCCTTTATTGTCAAATTGATACGAAATTTTCCATGTATTATTTGTTTGGTCTAAGAACGAACTCCATAACGTAACGTTTCATCCATTTCATGAAACTGCTTCATTAAATTGGAGCACAAGTTTAAATATAACAATTATCATAATTTTTCCTCTAATTATAAATACTTTGGTCGTTGTTTTATATCAGACAGCACGGTTATGTATCATTTCTATATTCACATTTTTACTGAATTTTGTAAAAATAAGTAATTTCGTAACATTAATAAAATCTGTTTCATATATTCAATGAAACCAAAAATCATTGAATTTAAAAGCAACGCAAGTTTTCATTGAATGAACAAAAAATGTATTATATTAATGTAGCTTTTCGTTGCATCAATAAAAAAATCAACGAAACCGCTTCATTGATACAACGAAGCATTTTTCCTTCAGTGTAGAAATCCTTTTCTTACTAAGAGTCCAATTTCTCTCTCTACTATTTTCTACCCTTATATTTGGTGTTTTACTGATTGTACTCCCAAAGAATTTTGCACTTTGAGCTCTCATTGGACGGATTAATGTCACATGAAAGAAGTAGGCCCACGCTTTGAAGTGAGCTCCATTAGGCTTTTTCGGTCATTTTTGTTTGTTTAAATGTGTTCGCATCTTCCAGCTGAACCACGATGTCGGACCTGGAGTTAAAAGGTAGAGGTCAGTTAACATCGTATTTCGCACTTATTTCATTTTTTTGGTTGTATATAGTGAAAAATTATTATTTATTCTGTTCACAAAATAAAACACTACTATTGTACATTTCAAAAGTCAAAATGAAAATGTTAATACATCACATTTTTACGCGATTATCCTTTTCGGAGAGTAGACAATTCCGAATTTGTATGAATCATTAAAATCAGTCCAGCGGTTCTTAAGTTATAAGCGTAGTAACTAACACAACTTTCTTTTATATATATAGATATTGAACCCATGTTATCGTCCGCCCCAACCGGCGAAGCAGTTGCCTATGTCTAGATCGCCCCCAATTGTCCTAAAACAGGGTTCGTCCAAAAAGACTTAGGGTCTAAAACTGTTAATTCAGTGAGGCATATTTTGGCCGATTCAAACAATATATATCCTCTGTAGTAAAATTGCTGAGGGTAAAAAATTTGGATGATGACAATTTGCCGCAAGTAAACTTCCCTTAATTAAAATCAGTACTAAACTAGAGAAGTCGGAAGCAATAAAAGGCAATGCTTCGCCACGATTATATATGAATAGAGTTCCAGTATTCCGCTTCTCATATTATGGTTAATAAATCATAAAAATGAGCTTACGTATTGCTTGTTTTCCACTCTTTTAGTTCTACACTATCCTTCCATTTTAACTCTGCGGCCGGATGTAAGGATACACAACGAACATCGTATTCCATGTTATCCGAGTAGATTGTAATGAAGGAGTCTGTGGCCAGTATGGAATCTGAAACTTTTGGTTTAGAACTGCCAGGGAGTAATATAATAATTTAAAAATTTTGATTATAAACAAGCCACACTGTTCTAATTTTGATTATATTGTTTGAATTCTATTTTATTTACTCACATTTCTATAATGTCGCGTATTTCGAAATCCATTGTCGATTTCTCCTCCCCCATATTTTTAGCGTTTTTCTTTTCAATACCGGAAGCTTTTTGTTTGTGTTCTAGGGTTTTGCGATGTCGTCTTGCCTTACACGGACTATTGAACTCTAGCGAACATATCGAGCAAAAATATTTCGATACAGAATGTTTGAATTTTTCATGGCGTTGGAGGGCTATTTGTGAAGGCAGAACCTCTGGACAGGTAAGACATTTAAATTTCGATTGATAAATATCCGAAGCTGTTCCAAAGTATTCCATTTCAGGATGGTGACTACGAATGTGTCGGCGAAGCTCAAAATTGTAACGAAATCCAGATCCACATTTCAAGCAACTCAAGGTCCGGCGTTTGCTAATGCAAATCGGCACAGAACGATTAATGGCCAGTAAAACTTCCTTGTGCTCGGGACTCAAAAGATGACGTCGCATTTGATTATTATCTTCACATTCAAATCGACAATAGGAACACCAAAAACGACCCGGTCCTTCGGAAGCATCTAAATGCGAAGCAGAACTCCAGTGGAGCAGAAATGCCTCCTCGGTGTTGGCATAAAAACGACAAGGGCGACATTGGAAGGGAGACTGCAGCACTATCGAATGGATATTATCCAAAATCATGTGTAGCGATAGGCCAGGATGTAGTTGCATGCGGCGATAATGATAGTGAGAAATCAGGTGCTTGCCAATGAGATGTCTGCTCATGACATGTTTACATAAACTGCATCTCAAGAAAGTAGAGCGTCGTTTCCGCTTTTTGCCAATTGCCGAAGTGGACGCAGTAGTTACTGCATGCATTTTAGCTGTCTTTACTGCAAAGCCCTTGTTAATGTCCTCACGTGGGATTTCTTCAATAACCGCCTTTTCTAACTGGGTTTCGGGTTCGTAACGTTTCAAGGGATAGCTTGTCTTCAGATGGTTCTCATAGATAGCTTTACTCTTCAATTTGCGACAGCAAATGTTACACCAATAATCCTGTTTTGTAGAATGTTTTGCCAACTCGACGGCCTCCTTGTATTCCAAACGTTGGACTTTGGTTCCAGGTATCCATTTGCCTTTTGTGTGATCCGAGGGCGGGTGTTGGCAGTCATTTATATCAACATCGTCCATATGGTCATCCCAGTTTGGCGATAGCCTAGACAATTGCGAATGGGTAACTCGAAGGTTTGGTCTATGTTCGGGTTTCCATTTGCCACCCGTATGCGTGGCTGGCACAACGGGAGGAGAATGTCTTAGCAGTGGCAATTTCCATTTACCACCTGTGGCATGGCCTTCTGCTTCTGGTTCATAATCTTCGTCATCGTCATCATCTATTTCGTCCACATCAGCCTCATCGTCCTCTTCCTCCTCGCTTAATTCTGGCGATTCGTGTTCATATGTTATGGGCTTAAAAAGGGCCTCATATGACTTCTTTGCCTCGCCCATGTCATTTACGGCTTTCAGAAGATTGTCACTGCCATGTTGGTCGCCATGATGGGTTGCCATCCATGACTCTACTTCATGTGAAGAATGATCAGATTGTAGGGATTTTTGTCTTTGTAATTGACCAGGACCACCTGTTTTGCCACCACTACTCTGATGTGTCGCGACAGGATGATGAGCAACGGACGATTGAACACTTTGCAATTGTAGTGATGAAAAGAATACATCGGCACCCAATTCATACGGCAATTCATAACTCTCTCCAAGATTTTTTGAACTTTTTCCACCGTGACTGGCAGCTGTTGGTTGCTCGGGTTCATTGAAATTAAATGGCTCATAATTTATTGGTGGCGTTACATCGGAGTTACGATGTTCCGATGGAGTTACGGTATGGGACGTTGAATCTTTCGTATTCGTTGTGGTTACAGTCGCTGTGGTTGTATTTCGATTGCAGTTTTGTTTGCGATGTTGAATATAGTTTTCAAGGCCTATTATCGTTTGACTGCATTTAATGCAGAGGTGAGTGTCATCAAGATCGGCATTCATAATGGAGAGGTGTTAGCTGAAAAAAAAACAAAGTGGAACTTGTTACCGATTTCATTATGAAATTTTTGATAATAAATTGACAATTTCATTAAAAAATAATATATTTTGGGTCCACATTTCGCTATTATTTTCCATATAGTGTTTATAAAAATTGAGGATGTTTTTATTTCTCGTTTCTCGTACTTAAAAAGGATTAGTCGCAAAAAGGAATTAAAAACAACAAAAACGACAATATATCCATTGAGTTTGTTTTACATTTCAGCACACGCAGTAGTTTGTTACTGTTGTATATTATCTCGAGACAAAGATAACGCAAATTTATATCAAATTTATTAACAACTTGATCGCGGATCTGAGCCGAACACATGTAGTTTGTGCCACCAAACATATGGTATGGTAAGCATTGATATGAATGAATCAATGCTCACATAGAGAAAAAGGTAAAAAAACGCACACACACGAAAGGCAAACATGTTGTTTAATTGCGCATAGATTATGAGATGCATTTAAAAGATATGTTTCGAGCACATACGTACTATGTACGTAACTACATATGAATTCGAGGTTTGTTAAGTAATTTAGTTTAGGTGATTCCCCACCAGACGTGGCTATCTTTCAATGCGTTTGGCGACTTAATTTTTTACTTGGCGAGATGACGATTTTTTGACTTATAATAGAACTGTTGGTGAATTGTAGCAAATCTCCTGTTTTGACACCCTCCACCATGGAAATGAGGGTATATTAATGTACACATATATTTTTGGTAAAACATTGTCTGTATAGATCCATCTTGGTTTCTAAGGGTGTAGAAAATATCTTTTCATAAAATTTTCAATTTTCGGAGTAGAGCCCATCTTGGTCTTGATCACATTCATCAATTGATTTGGCTAAAAATTGTATTTAGGCTACTCTGGGCCAGAGAACCATCTTACAGATAATTGTCCTTATAGGCATATATTTAAGTATAGCCCCCTCATTAGTGTATACCTAAGTTCAGATAAGAAAATTTTGTATTCTATTGAATTTGTAACCCCCAAGAGAATATTGGTTGGGAACGCAGATTTGGGATGTACGTATACATGAAAAAAAAACTCCGAAATATCAAACGGGAACATGAAAAAAACTACGAATATTAATTTGATTGATCGTCATTGAATTATACTGCGAGAAGGTTAGCCCTAGCTCACGGTCATGAAATGGCTTTTCATAGAACAATTGCCGACTTACAACATAAGCTCGATGTTCAAATGGGTGTTATACGACCTAAACACACTAACCCCACTAGTAAAATGCTAGGGATGGACATAGCTGAAAAATTGCCAGACGTAGAAGATGCCAGTCTTCAGCAGAAGGAAGATTGGGCTGCCGAGGTAGCCGAAGACCTCGGTATGGCGATAGATGTTGCACCCCAGACAGTTGATAATGGAGCTTCTTTAGGTGCAATCCCTAAGCCAAAAACAATGTCAAATGAAGCTTTCCCTCAAATGAAGACGAAGAAGCAGCCTGCCTCTAGGAATGGACCCACTTAAACAGATGTGGGTGCTAACTTGCCTACTCTGGATAAGAAGCAGCCAGCTGGCAAATCAATGCCAGCTTTTACCCTTTACGATGTAGGTGTTAAGGAAATTTCGGGAATCTTCAACCAAAGATACCGATCAGGTGAGTTTTCTATCGTTTATATACGCCCATCTGTTCTATCACTCAAGGTCAAGGGCCTTACAATTTATGAGGAAATTAGGTCTTTACTTGTTGAGCGTGGTTATAAATTCCACACTCACACGCCGAAAGCAAATGGCTGCTCAGAGTATCGGATATAAAGTACACGCTAAATAAAATTTTAGATTGTAATATTAAAATAAAGAAGGATAAAGGTCGCGACTTTATCATTTGTTTCAATTGCCAACGTTCGGGTCATGTCTCCAGCAATTGCACCATGACTCCTCGTTACAATAAATGTCTTGATAGTCATCACTCATATAAATGTCCCATTCCATTTAAGGAAAATGAAGTTTTTGTAGATGATGTTGATTCCGTTACTGGTAATACTATTAAAACTCCTTTAGCTTTAGCTGCGTGAACTGCAAGGTAGTCGGTCACACTGCGTCCTCCCGCCAATGCCCGCGGCGATTATTGCTAAAAACAGAGCCGATGCTCAGGCTAAGATTGGTAGAGCCCTCGCATGGTACTTACTTGATTGTCCAAATCTTCATATATTTTCTTCTGAACACCCCTCAATACACAACGAAGGTCACGATTCATTTATAGATATTTTCATACGCACTCCAGGACTGGCTTTGATCGATGACAACACAAGGGCTACAACCTTAGACTTTGAGTCTGACCACAAGGCATTGGAAGTAGTCGTCCACTTGGGTGGATTTGGGAAAGGAAAACCAAAACCTTTTTTAATTTTGACAAAACTAATATAAACCGTTTCCAGGGAAGACAGGGGCTTGCCTAAATTTGTTTGCCTATGAACAGAAATGTTTCACATCAAGAGATCGATTCAACTGTTAAAAATTTAGAAATCCTGTTTAGAAACGCTATTGACGCTTCAGTCCCTAAAATGAAAGCTAAAAATAATACTCTAGGTGACCTTCCCCCAAGGATCACGTTTTAAAAAACATGTTAGGAGATGATGTTATGAAACCAAGGCCTATTGAACATCTGAACAGCAATTTTTAAAAAAATAAAATCCGTTAAAAATTCTGTTAAAATCTTAAAAATACCGAATGTAGCCGTTATATTAGGGTCTATACGACGACCTGGACCTGTATAGTCAACTTTTGTCATAAGCCATTACAATATTCAAATACGAAACTTGAAATAAATCAAATAAAACACATTAAGTTCGGCCGGGCCGAACTTTTAGTACCCTCCACCTTAGGGTAAAGGAAACATTTTTTATAAAAGTATCTGAATTCAAGCGTGTTTCACTTTAAACTTCATACAACAGTAAGACTTTTCGCATAATGCAGTTAAATTTATCAAAAAACCATAAAGTGAGTGAGGCCGGTATATGGGGCCATACCAAACCGGGAACCTGTATAGGCAATTTTATGCTTTAAGGATTGTCATCTATAAAATCTTCTTAAATACAAAATTTGAAACAATTATGTGGGTAAATGTAACTAGGATTATCAAAATACCGAATAACGCTGGGTATAGTTAGATGTGACCTATAAGAAAACGTGGAATATTCTGCCATCGGGCTAGAACCCATTATGAACTGCAAATACCAATTTTAATCAAAATATCGAATATCGGGAGGTACCGTTATATGGGTGCTATACCAAAACGTTGACCTATACATACAATACTTCGCCATTCGAGCCAGAATCCATTTTGACCCACAAATACAAATTTTTAGACAAATTAGTCGGAAAATATGGCAAAAATCATCAAAATACTGAATATCGGAAGGTACCGTTATATGGGACTATACATTAACGTGGACCTATGCATACAATGTTTCGTCACCGTAGCTAGAACCCATTATGTCTTACATATACCAATTTTTAGACAAATCCGTGAAAAAAATGTTCAAAATACATGGACATTACGGACGAACAGACATGCATAAATCGACTCAGAAAGTATTGTATGAAAATCATCAAAAGGAACTATGGGTCTACTTCATTTTCCTCTGCATGTTACAAACAAATGCGCAAATACATAACACACTATACCACAATGTGGCCTAGGGTATAAAAAATAAATTGTGCTTTTAAAGCGATAAACTGTATAAATTAGAACCGAAATATTAATTTCTCATCTGATTTATTATTTTAAATTAAATTTTGATTAAATAGAGAACGTTTATCTGCAGATATTGTACTTACGGGAAATTCCTCAAATATTTTTAATCAAGTTGCAAGGTGTCAAAAATATAATCATTGAGTAACTTTACTTTTTATTCCACCCTCGTATTTAAATACTTGGCAATGTCTATGTGCAACGCCCAACACGCTATGAAATTATGCACACGGCTGTGATTCGAAAACATACATATCTAATCATTTGCGTAAAATATACGATTATAACATTTCAATCGAAAAATAAATCCACAAAATATAATAATGCAAGCGGCTCGATTGCCTTTTCCCTTTGGATCACCACTCGTCTTGTGAAATATGTACTAAAATCATCTACTGATTCATGAGCTATTCCAACAACAAGAGCAGCAATGTTACTCGGGAAAAAAACGACAACTTTATTTGTAGCACACCAGCCAGCTATGGTGAAAGAAGGTAGAACAAAAGTCGAAAAGTTATCGCTAGGCCAGTAGTTGGGAGAAAAAAGCTAAGAGCTCGTTTAATTTGGGAGCTTTAAGGTTGGGGAGAACAATTTATTATGAATTGACTCATTGTGGTAATATTCACAATTTAAGACATTCTATTCAGAGTAAAATAAATTTGAAGATTGCCGAGCGACAACTTAAAGCGAGTATATGCGACAGGAGGGAATAACTACAGATTATATTTTTATTGCTATTATAAGGACAAGATATATTAATAAAAGCATTTCTCAACGTTTCCACTCTTTCACAAATGAGATGGTGAAATATAAAAACACTTATAGGTGCTTCAGGGACTCATATTGTCCGAGAGAAAAAAAGAAAGCCAATATTTCGGATTCATTCTAAATAAATACTCGGTCATTGCTACAATCCGGTCGACAAACAAACTGCATGGAAATCCCACGGCGGCTAGTTTTTTGTACTGCATTGACTTTTAGATCTATTTGAACGGGAATTACCGCCTCTACAATAACATGTTTGTCGCTAGATAACAAAACTCCGCGATGAGAAGTTAGATGCATCTTTCATACAGCTCTAGGCTCAGCATTTAGCAAGAAATTTTATTGTACCATATTTTGCGCGTTGTATAAGATTCTGATGTTTCCGAAAACGAAACTTTTGCCCATGTTCAACATAGATCAAAGTATAATATGAAATCGAAAATATCCTTCTAGAGTTGTTGTATGTAAAGACAGACGAATGGACATTACCAGATT